TTTTTACAAAAATTTTATCATGGATTACAAAAAAAATTCGATCATGGATTAAAAAAAAATCATAAATTTTCAAAAACTCTATCATGGATTACAAAAAAAAATTCAATCATGGATTAAAAAAAAAAATCACAAATTTTCAAAAAATTCAATCATGGATTACAAAAAATTCAATCATGGATTACATAAAATTCGATCATGGATTACAAAAAAAACAAACAAAAAAAAACAAACAAAAAAAAACAAAAAATTCGATCGTGGATTACAAAAAAAGAAAAAAACAATTCGATCATGGATTACAAAAAATTCAATCATGGATTACAAAAAACTCTATCATGGGTTACAAAAAAAACAAAAAACAAAAAACAAAAAATTTGATCATGGATTACAAAAAAAAAACAAACATTTCGATCATGGTTTACAAAAAAAAACAAACATTTCGATCATGGATTAGAAAACATTCGATCATGGATTACAAAAAATTCTATCAAGGGTTAACAAAAAAAAAACAAAAAACAAAAAATTCGATCATGGATTACAAGAAAAAAAAACAAACATTTCGATCATGGATTACAAAAAATTCGATCATGGATTACAAAAAATTCTATCATGGGTTACAAAAACAAAAAATTTGATCATGGATTACGAAAAAAAAAAAAAAACAATTCAATCATGGATTACAAAAAAATTGATCAAGTATTACAAAAAAATCTATCATGGATTACCAAAAAAAAAAAAAAAATCCGTACGAGGACTCGCCGATTCACTATACGGTACTCGTCGATTCCGTACAGTGAATCGGCGAGTCACTGTGCAGAATCGTCCGGTTCTCTCTAGAACCGGACGATTCCCATTTTTTTCGTCGATTCGATCCGTCCATGGCGATTCCCGAGTCGAACCGGGCGAGTCCGGTTCGACTCGGCGTTTTTTTAAACACTGGTTTGGACCATCTAATATGTTAGTCCAGATAGGCAATTTGCAAAATATGCTATTCAATGGATAGGTATTAGGGCCTTCTCAATAATATTTGTAATTAGAATTAAATGTTAAAATAGGTTAATTCTAAGATGGTTGATTTCCAAACACGGTTACGAAACGAAAGAAAATAATTTTATATGAAATCTAATAGTGTTACCAAACATGAAAAAAAAGAGTATGGGAAACCTAAATCATATAAACCTATTTTTTAAGAAATTAATTTTCTAAAAGAAAACTATTTCACGCGAACCAAACGTATTCGAGAAAAAAAGGAAGATTGAATATATGTAGCAACCAAAAAAAACATAAGGATGCAATTTCTCTATATTTTCACTTATTTTTTTGCTTTTCAATAATCTTTTCCTCTTCTTTAGTTTTTCCTCTATTTAAGGTTTTAGTTTTTACTCAACCTCTATTTCTTTTCCTTGTGCTTCTCTTGCTTTTGTCTAGGTTCGAGTTTAAGCTTTCTTTCTTTCTAGGGTTTTAATTTTCCCTTCTTAAACTTTTTTTAGGGTTTTGATTTTATTTCTTTGGGTCTTCTCGTTTTGGAAATTAGGTTCACACCAGTATGGGCAAAAAATATTGGGTGCGGTTTCTATAAGGTTGCAACTTTCAACGATCCAATTAAAGTAAATAATCCAATTAAAGTGGACCTCCAAATTTTATCATAACATATAATTTTAGTAAAAAAAATCTTTGGATTATCTCAAAAATCTATTTTCATATCTAATTATAAAATTTTAAACTTCAAAAATAGTTAAAATCAAGTAGATCTATAAACATATGAAAATCTTGAAAATGGACCAGTCTAGATAAAGTGCTGCAAGATGAACTATTTTTGGGACTCAAAAGTCTTTTTTTTTTCATATTTATACATATCGATGTCGAGATGATCAATTAGAGGGCTTTTTAACATTAAAACAACCTTTTCTAATGGATTTTTGAGGTGCATATGGATTCTGCATTTTAAGATTGCAACCTTATACAAACTTTTTCCAAAAATATTTAGATAATTATTATGATAAATGTCGATGTAAAAGTGAGACAATCCTGGATGAAGGTATTGTATTTGTTCATATGTTTACACTATATTATATATAACTTTCGCTTGCCAAGGGAAGCTGACAAGTCTTCGAAAGAGGACGTATGTATTTTATGTAAGAATGATAATAAGATGGTAGACCATTTTTTCATGTTTTGCCCTTTTGCTATGATGTTGTGGGAGTGGAGTAGAAAGCATCTAAATCAAGGGAGTTCTTCCTTTACAATGGAGCTCATCAGGAATCCCTACGCTTGGTACTATACTGTGGAGATCTATATGGGTTAGTATCATTTGGAGAAGTTATATGCTTGGATATTGTCACTCTCAAGTCCAATTGCTTCAGCTACAAGGCATGCTATTTGGTCTCCTCCACCACCACCAACTTGTATCAAGTTAAATTTTTATGGGAGCTCTTTAGGGAATCCAGGTTTCGCTGGTTATGGGGAACTCATAAAGGGAAAATTATACTCAATTATTATCGACCGTGTCTTGTATTAAGTTAAATTTTTATGGGAGCTCTTTAAGGAATCCAGGTTTCGCTGGTTATGGAGAACTCATAAAAGGAAAGTTATACTCAATTATTATCGACCGTGTGGTGTGACCACTGTGAGGCAAGGGCAATGCTAAATCATTGCGGGGCATTCAACAGACATTTTTACATCCTTGGAGACCACGACCCTTATTCGATGAAGTTAGAGAGTTACCATCTTCTTTTTTTTGCTGAAATTTTTCATTGTTTTTGCGAAGCGAATATGGAGGCATATACTCTTGCTAAAGTGTTTAATTTCATATTTTGAATATCCAAAATTTGGCAACCTCAAGACCTGAAATTTGAGATTTAAACATTAATAAATCATCTAGACCATCCATTTGGCCCTAAAAATAAGTGTTTACATATCTGCAAGATCTCTACCATTTTTAAAGTTTCAAATTTTATTGTTAGGTTGGAAATTAATTTTATAGCCATCATGAAGATTTTTTACCGTGAAAGTGTTTTCCGGATGAGGATTTGAGGTGACGCTTTATTTTGTTTTCATAAGGCCTGGGCCCTATAGAAACTTCATCCTTTATCAAATAACATTAGTGAAAATAAGTGGTTTATAAACTATAAGGCCTAGAACTTCTGAAAAAAAACAAAAAAAATGTAAAGCTTCACCTTGAAACCTTGTCTAGAAATGCTTTGGCTATAAAAATCGGGAAAATTTCAAAAAATACCCTAAAATGGAATATCTATGCAACTTGCCCCCTCCCTAATCTTTTCTCACACTTTTTTCCCCAAACAACATTTCCTTACAAAAACTACCCAAGGTAAAAAGTTGTTATTTTTTTGATGGAAATGCCCTTCCTGTACAAACCAAATCAATTCGCGGGTCCCAAGTAGTGTATTACCGGAGAGCGTCTTTGCACTACCGGAGCGTTGTGGCGCAGACCTGCATTGTCGGAGCGCACATTCAGAATGTCGGAGCACTTGTTTATACTGTCAGAGTGCGGTCTTCCATTGATGGAGCGTTGTGGCTCCATAGACTTCATTGCCAAAGCGAAATGCCAGAGCACGTCTTTGCACTACCGGAGCGAGTTCTCACAATGCTAGAGCGGAATGCCAGACCGCATCTTTGCACTACCGGAGCGAGTTCTCACAATACTGGAGTGTTGTGGCTCAAACATGTATTGCCAAAGCACACATTCAGAATGTCGGAGCGCGTGTTTGTACTGCCGGAGTGCGTGTGAAAACATGAGAGAGAAACAAGGGTAGTTTAGTCTTATTTCATGCTACTTTTGGGTTGGGGCTGTTATTTACGAGGAAAGGTTGTTTGGGTGGAAAAAGTGAGAGAAAAGATTGGGGTGGAGGTAGGTTGCATAGATAGTCCATTTTAGGGTTTTTTTATTAATTTTTCCCATAAAAATCTGTATGATGGCTCTAAAATCAAGTTTTACCAACGATTATGAAATTTATAGCTAAAAAAATGGTATAGATCTTGTGGATCCATGAATATTTGTAAACTGATGGTCTAGACTCTAAATAATGTGTTATAACATACACTATTCTTAGAGCTTGAAATCTTAATTTTTTTTTTTTCACAACTATAATGATCAAGGTTGAGATGATAGATTTGAAGATTCTCCAATGCAAGAAACTACAATTTTCCATGAATTTTGAGGTGGTCTTTCAGTACTTCCCCTACTGCATAAAACTTATATACTTCTATCTATCCAACCGTCCATTCTGAATGGACGGCTATGATAGACTCATTCACAATGTCACGTCTCTACACTATTTTATTGTTAAACATATTTTTACAAATTATTTTTACACCAAATTTTGTGCATCCACTCTTCTCTTAAACTTGTACCTGTAAAAATATTTTAAAAAATATATTTTCAAAAAAAAAGAGACTAAAATACCCTTGAAAGTTTCAAGAGATATTTTGGTCATTATATTTTATGAAAAAAAATTTAATATGTTTTTTAGGTGAGCCCTATTGAGATGATGCCATGTACCAAATTTCATATTCATATAATTCGTATAAAATACTAAAAGTAAAATACTCAAAGGCGTCAGATCTAGATCAATGGTCAATGACTCACTTGATCTAAATCGGAGGATAGGGGAAGTATATAGAAACCTTTAGCTTTACTTATTTTGATTGGGCTGCAGCGTATCAAAATATTCTCCATACTTAAAATAGAAAACATGTGAAGGCAGTGGCCAAAATTTTATTGATGGGCTTTGCTCGTGTCTAAGGATGCACTTGTATTAGTGAGTTCACGCTTCAAAATCGATTATGGAGACCGATTTTGGAATTAGTTTATTTTAAAATTTCTAATATTCAAAATATCATATCCAAAATTAAGGTCTTTTCTAGTTTTCCAGAGATCTGAAAATCCAAAATTAACGTCTTTTCTAGTTTTCCATATATTTGAAAATCCAAAATTAAGAATTAATTTTAGTTTCATATTTTCAATATTTTCAAAATTTCGAAAAACAACAACCTTGATTTTAGATTTTTGCATTTTGAATGTCCAAAAAAAAAAAAAACCATTAATTTAAAGTTTTCATATTTTGAACATCTATAATTTTTTATGAGTGGGTTTAAGGCTAGGTAGTCAGGGTGGTGGTTCACCACAATATGACGTGTTTCATTCTTTATGACCTTAAGGAACAAAATTGATGCTCTCATGAACCCCTTTTGATGTAATTTCTGATGAAGTTCCAAAGATAAAAATTCATCAAATGTTGAAAAAATCTATTAAAAATTTATATTGGGATTTCGAGCAGAGGAAATGGCACACTGATGCGGTCCGCTATTGACATCGGATGGATGGGGGACATGGAGATTCGGAACAAAACCTTCACACTCAGTGAAAGCACTTTCCTTTGCTAGACATGGATTATTCTGGGTACAAGTAGTATTGTACCCGAGTTCAAACAAGAGCAAATGGCTCCAGCCAAAAAAACTCCACTGATAAATTTTGTTTCCGAATGCCCCAAAGACAACCATCAAGAAATGGTTTAATTAAATGGGGCATTTTTTTCCCTTTCAAATAAAAAAATACCCCCACATTCATATTGGAGCAGTTTTAATCTTCCTATATATCATCGTTATCGTCATTTTAACCTTTTTCCAATTAATTGGGATCGGCTACGAATCTTGATTCTCCACTTAATCTTCCCAATCAATACCATGAAAAATAACTTTCCCATGTGCTTTGGTTCAACTCAATATACTGTGCTCTATCAATTCATTCATTCTTAAGCTAGAATTATTTATCCTTTCGCATATAATCCTAAAATTTTCAATGAATTTGTAACAAATTCAGCCAAAAGAAGACTAAGAAATATATGGAAAAAAAGAAAAATATCTAAAAACGGACGAAGAATCACTTTCCGGTCACAAAGTTGGTGGCCTAGGCCCAAGCATTGTTGTTCACTGGGTCTGCAAGGTGGTCAGCCCGGTTCTCTAATGGACCCTTTCCAATGACAATGGCCTGAACAAAGAACCCGAACATTGAGAACATGGCGAGCCGGCCGTTCTTGATCTCCTTCACCTTCAGCTCGGCAAAGGCCTCAGGGTCCTCAACCAGGCCCAAGGGGTCGAAGCTGCCACCGGGCTAGAGTGGCTCAGTCACCTCAGTCAAAGGACCGCCGGCCACACGGTAACCCTCAATCGTGTCCATGAGGATCACTTGAGTGGCCCAGATAGCCAAGATGCTCTAAGCATGCACCAGCCTTGAGCTCCCCAAGTAGTCGAGTCCACCCTCGCTAAAGATTTGAGCACCGGCCACGGCCTCACTGAACTTGACACCATTGCGAGAGAGTAACTCTGGGAACACGTTGTTGTGCGCGGAAGCTCTAAATCCGACGGATTGATTTTTTGGCCAAATAAAGTGCAATAAATAAATCATGAAACAAATACCACAAGAACACAAAAATTTACATGGTTCACCCTAGAAGGTCTACATCCACGAGCACTGGAAACTGAAATCCATTATACCAATAAAAGTTACATTAGAGATTTTGGAACATAGGAACATAAAATTACATCTATTACCTCGACAAAAACTCAAGTCGAGCAAACCCTTTTGAACCACTCTTCATTCTTTAGTTTTACTTTTGGCAACCATTGACTGTACTAGATAGAGATGCGAGAGCAATGAAAAATTGACTTTCTCTTTAATTAAAAGAATAAACCACCCAAAATCTCCATGAAAACCACTTCTCTACAAAAAACCAACCTCTCAATATTGAGAAGTCTACAAGAGGCACCCTCACAAAGTCTCTCTACATAAGAAAATATCTTCTCTTTAAGAACAAACCTTACATCATCCTAAATATATAAGATTAAGAGTCCATACTAAATAGGAAACTTCTTATTGATATTACATATATCTCAAAACCACGAGATAAATCCAAGAGTCTTAATCTCTTTGGATTTTTATTTCCTTTAAGAAACTTATCAAATATAAATATCAATATCATATAATAAAGAAATATCTTATTCCCACATAATATGGGAATATCTCAATCCCACATAATATGGGATTTCCTTATGGGCGATTCTGGATAGTACCAAATCCAATAATCTCCACTTTGATATCAAAATCACCTACTCATGATGTCAATATCTATTAGATAGCTTTATGGATTCTTTATATTTTGCCAAATAAATTCATTCATCATTCTTGCTTGAAAATAATGCTTGCTATTAAATTTCTCCAACTCGAACTTTGCATTTGAAACCTTTACCGTCATACCGACAACCTCAAACCAGGCTCTGATACCACTTGTTTTGCACGGAAGCTTTAAACCCAATGGGTGAAATTTTTGGCATATAAAATATGAGAAATAAAGCATGAAACAAATACCACAAGAACACAAAGATTTACGTGGTTTACCCCAGAAGGGCTATATCCACGGGCACGGCAAACTGAAATCCATTATACCAATGAAAGTTACATTAAAGATTTTGGAATATAGAATACATCTCTAACCTCAACAAAAACTCAAGTCGAGCAAACCATTTTAAACCACTCTTCATTCATTTTCTTTACTTCTGGCAACTATTATCGACAACACCAGATAGTGAAACGAGAGCAATGAGAAATTAATTTTCTCTTTAACTAGAAGGAAGAACCAACCAAAATCTCCATGGGAACCACTTCTCTACAAGAAACCAGCCTCTCAATCTTGAGGAGTCTACAAGAGGCACCATTGCAAAGTTTCTCTACATAAGAAGTTATCTTCTCTCTAAGAGTAAACATTGTATCTTATACACAGGAGGCTCTGCCCCCCCTCTCTCTAGAAGAAACACCATTTTCATGTGGTGACCCAAATAAAACATACAAATTCTCTATACTTTCATCCCAAATATATAAGATTATGAGTCCATACTAAATAAAAAACTTCCTGTTGATATTACATAATCTCATAACCATGAGATAAATCCAATAGTCCTAATCTTTTTGGATTTCTATTTCCTTTAAGAAACTTATCAAATATCAATATCAATCTCATATAATAAGGAAATATCTCTTCACCACTCTTGTTAAAAATAATGTTTGCCATCAAATCCATGAGACTTAATCTTTTTGCATTTCCATTTCCTTTAAGAAACTTATCAAATATCAATATCAATCTCATATAATAAGAAAATATCTCAATCACGCATAATATAGGAATATCTCAATCTCACATAATATAGGATTTCCTTATAGGTGATTTTGGATATCACCAAATCCAATACATGCATCCCATAGCTTCGAGCATGGCCCACCTGCAGTGGATGACCTCGAGCTCTCTGTTCTTGGTGAAGGTCTCGTGGTCGGCAAAGAGGCCAGCAGTGTCCCACCTGTTGTCACCGGGGACTCCCCGGTGAGGTAGGATGGAAGCTCCCCAAAGAACGGGCCAAGGTACCTAACTTTGTCGGGGCCATACAACGGGCTTCCAGATGTTGGGGCCTTGCTAGCAATCTTCCTCATGCTCACTCTTCCATCACCATGGACACCAATTCCGAATTAGGATTGCGTGCTCACAAACACCGCCTTGCCGGCAAACGATGGGGAGGAGAGGGACATCGTTGCCATGGCGTTGCCTGAGCAAAAGGATGTAAAAGGTGGGCAAGGTTGGGAAGTGAAGTGAAGTGATGGTGTTTTGGTGGTGGCTTAGGGTGGTGTGTTGTGTATTTGTTTATATAGGTGGTGGTGGGGCCCTCTTTTTTATCTACTGAATATTTGAATCTTTGTTTTGATTGGCTACATTGCTCAAATGGGGCAGCTATTGTGGGGTCTCTTGAGGAGAGGCTCTCTATTGGCAACTATTGTGGGGCCTCTTGAGGAGAGGCTCTTGGGTGATTTTCAAGTGAGGTTTGTATAAGGTGTCACCCTTATACTATTGAAGCAAGGTGCACTTCAAAACTATACTGAAAATACAGTTTCGATGCCACAAAGCCTTGCAATGATATGAAAATCTATTGTTGCCCCCCCAATTATAAAATTTAAAGTTCTAGAAATGGTGACGATCAAGTAGATCTATAAACACTTGAAAATTTTGAAAACGAATAGTCCAAATAATGTGTTTGAAGATAAAAATTTTTTAGGACTAAAAATTCCCTTTTTTTTCATGTCTATAAATCTCGAGGTCGAGATGACCGATTTGAGGGTTTTCTAACATAAAAACAATCTTTTCTAACGATTTTTTAGGTGTACCTTACTTGCACAGTATAAAGTTGACACCTTATATAAATTTTTCCCTCTTTTTGTTTTTTGTGGCTCAAAGTGAAATTCATGTCTCTCTTCTTTTTTCTTTTTCGTGGCTCGATTTGAAATTCGTGTGTGGTGAGTGGCACGAATATCAAGCGAACGAGATACAATGCGACCTTCTACCTGGACCATATGTTTTGAAGTCTAGTTGTGTGCCCATGGCCAAAACCTTTTTAACTAAAGTATAAGGCCTAGGACTGGGTAAAAAAAAAACGTAAAGCTCTTTCAAGTCCAAAAATATATATGATGGTTCTAAAATCAATTTTCATCACCGATTATAAAATGTATAGCTCCAAAAATAGTACTATAGAAACGAAAAGCAATCTACGAAAACTAGAAAGAAGAAACAAAGACAAAAGAAATATACAACAAACCACAACGCAATGATATACATGGTTCGGTAACGTACCTATGTCCATAAGAGACGAGAACTTCTTTACTGGCAATGGAGAATAGGGTTACAAAAAGCTCTCTTCCTTACATCTTTCTAATTACATAGCAATCTGCTTTTTTCCCTTAACCCTAGATAAACCCCAATCGCAACAATATATATCAAGTTTCAAATAGATGGTACAAATTATCGAAATACTCTTTTAACGGCCCTCCAGAGTCATGTTTTTAACTCTACCTTAGCAGATCTATTTCCTCATAATACAAGACATCAATCCTCAACAGGTACAAATCTTGCAGTTTCATAAGTACTTGAAAGCTGATGGTCTAGACTCTAGATAATGTGTTATATCATATAATATTTTAAGGGCTTGAAATCTTAATTCTTTTTCAAAACTGTAATGGTCATCAAGATGATAGATTTGACGGTTCTCCAATGCCAGAAATACAATTTTCCATGAGTTTTGAGGTGAGGTTTTACTTATTTTGATTTTTAAAAAGAACAACCTTGATTTTAGATTTTCAAAAACAAGGAGCAAACTATATGCTTAATGTCTCGAACAAAACCACATGATTAGGTTATTTTTTTATTTAAAACATGGTGATACAATTTATCAAAAAACCCATACAAGAAATTACCCACAAGAAATTATCTTCCTATAAAAAACCATTTCTTTCAAGATATGCAACCCTTAAGAAATGATCTTTCTTAATCCGTATATGTATATGTATAGAACCTTCCCACTCATCTTGTCCATATCCCTGTTCCAAAAACTTCCATCTATCGATTTAAGTAATGTAAAATTAGATTAAAACCTCTCTTCACGCCCACATATCACTGTTGATCAATGATTCCTCTAAAAGATGGCAATTCCTAGCTCTCACCGCTACTATCTAATTGGGTCCCTTCTGTCCCTCTTATAGCATTTGATTTGATTATCTCTATCCTCTCTCTTCTCCATGCCATTCTCTCACCTCTCTCTCATCTCTCTTGTGTGGGGGTGCCACACCCCTCTCTAGTAACCCTAGAGTGGCATGCCACAAGCCCTCGCCCATTTTCTCTCTTACGGTGCCATGACCCTCTCTAACAGCCCTGGAGTGGCACACTCCTGAGCCCTAGCCAGTGTTCTCTCTCCCCAAGGGTTGCACGTTCGCTCATTGGTTATAATGTATAACATGCCCTCGCCAAAAGAACACGAGCTTAATTGGTTAGCACTTCACAATTTGCAACGCTACATCCTAGCTCAATTCCTACCAACGGGGCCCTCTCCCCACTGACTCATCCCAAAAAAAAGCCCTGGTCAAATCACCTAGCCTATTTGCTTCCCATCATGAGGAGATTACAATAAGGACCGTAGTCGGTCCACCACAGATCTAGGTGATCCAGAGTGATGTTTACTAAGTCTTTTGAAGGTGATACAAAGCAACTAATTTAAGTAACAGCCTCCCATAGTTCTTAATTTATTTACTGACTGCAATTTTCTATTTTTTATTATTAATGAGACGAATGTCTCATTGCAGCAAGCTAGAATCCTTGTTTGGTTTTTATGTAATTGCCCATAATAGATTAACAATTTAACACTTTAATCATATCTTTTGTTTTAATAAAATATCCAACAAAGGTCTTCAGTTGGAACGGTTTCAATTTGGTAAAATATTTAAATACTTCGTTTCTTATGGGTATTTTTCATTTATAACAATACTTCCTAGTTTTGAAGCCATAGATTTCTGGAGAGCAATACATGCTCGAAAGGTAATAAGTATATGGCTAATAAAATTATCATCTCCATGTTATCACGATCCAATTCTTAGTCCGATGATTATGAGGCGAGTCGGACCAACTGATGAAACACTGGTATTTCCTAATAGGGTCTCTATCCTCTCCATCATTCTCCAACCAGTGATCAGATGACAATGGCCCTCATAACATCCAGTGATAAGGATTACAGTAACCCCATTCAAGATAAAGAAAAGCTTTTCTGATGACAATGCAAAAAGCCGAGCAATCCACATATTTTGTGGACATACCATGTCTTTAGAACAGGTGAGACTACTTTACAGCCCGACTCAAAAAACCACATTGGACATGCGGATGGAAGAACCCTCCATCATATGCTCCCCGACAGACATGGATCCAAAGATACATGGATTTGTGTACATGAGGATGGAAGAACCATCCATTATACGAACCTCAATAACCATGGATCCAAAGAAAAATGGATGGATTTAGAGCCTTACAAATGATATATCTTAGACACCATCCATTTCTATTCTTGAAAAATCATCATACTCAAGCTACTACCAAAGATCCAAATCTATTGTTTGGGAGCAAAGATCAATTTGAGCATGCTCTCATGGTTGGCCTTCACCTCTAACCTCACCCCTTTCTAGATCCTACATCGATCAGTAGAGTTTGACATCTATAAGAATTTGTACCAAGTTCTTAAGCATAAAGCACAAAGAAATTGGTTTATGGGTAGTCCGGTGGTAGGATTCAAACTTAGGATATCATCAACACCTTAGATAATCTAGCCTAAGACTGAATCCTTAAAGCACAAATATACTAGATCAAAACGAAGACAAACTGTATTTGGGAGGCTTCTCGCATCAAAAACTAAATAAATTAACTAAAAAAGAAATAAGAAAGAGGTTCCTCATCAGCTGAATTCATATTGGCATACAAACAAGTAGAAGCTTAAACATAAATATCCAATTGCGGTATCCTACAAGTCGAACTTTGAGCAGAGCAGACAATATTAAACATGGACACAAGACATTGAAGAGAAGCCGATCCCTTCAAATAAATAAAGGGAGCATGGTCGTGTCTAACCTGCCATAGACAAGGATGCAGAATAATCAATTTTCCTTATCTTATAATGTGTTTCATCCCAGTAAGTCACACGAGCAGCCACATACACGTGAAGAAATTTAAGAGGAAAAGATTTTAAGAGAAACGAGATAATAGAAATTTAGGGAGGAGAAATAGAAGATTAAATGAGAGTGCACGAGAAATTAGGAAAGATAGAGGCATGTCTCTGTGTCTGTGTGTGTGAGAGAGAGAGAGATCTGAAGGAGGGCAGAATGGATGGAGAGAGAGAACATGTAGAAACTAAGGGAATGCCAATAGTTGATTTAGAAGATTAATTTGATATTAAATTAATAAAAAAGGGTGTGCCTTCCATACTTACATGCTGTAATAATGGATGCACAGATACACCACAATGTGTATGTGTGCATGCGCATTCGTATGTGTGATCATAGCAAGACAAACCATAAGGAAAAGCAGTCAAATTGTGATTTTATATTACCTTATTGCGATGGTCTAACAAAAGCAATAATATCAAGGAAAGAGCGGCTGCTGAAGAAGCCCAGTGTTTTCAGGTAATCCCACCATTACATTCAGGTTCTGTAGTGCTTGACCAGAAGCCCCCTTTACAAGGTTATCAATCTGCATGATTTGCACAATAGATCATAAGGAAACATAAGAAACACCAACATCTAAGAATATGAAGAACAAAAGTGTTTGTGTTGTGTCAATAAAAGTGAATGGAAAAATTCACATACAACAGAAATTATGATTGCTCTTCCAGGTATTCGATCGTCAAAGACATTCATAAAGCAGTAATTTGATCCCCGGACATTTCGAGTGTGAGGCACAGCTCCTCTCTCCAACAAAACAACAAACTCTTCATCCTGAAATAACAAAAAGGATGGCAGCCTCAGTGTACCTGACTGACACGGAGAAAATAATTTTAGATTTGAAATATTTTGAGTTCAAACTGTATTGAGACAATTTTTACAAGATGACAAGTTCCGTTTGTGATCAAAACAAAGGATAGTTCATTGAGTTAGAAACGTCAAACAAGAGTAACATCACAAAATTACCAAAATAAAGTATAACTCTGATTGACCTCAGCATATGAAAGGGTATAACTTTGATTGACCTCAGCATATGAAAGGGCATACCTTATAAGTTATGCTCAACTGCTGATGGAGATCTTCAACTGTAACACCAGAAGCCATTTCCACATACACAGTAGACTGCATTCCTCGGCTCTGTTAAAATCGTTCAGAAAAATATTCAGAATCTAAATTGAACTCTACATCTTGAGGGTCATCTAGACCCTTCTTAATGAAGGACACAAAATGCATGGACAAAGAAGAAGTAGAGCGCCTATGCTATGATCCCACAGGAGCATACTGTGTATCCACTCCCTCATTCAAAAGACTGCTTGGGAGGATTTTTTCGGTCTGAAATTTTGGGAACCATCTAAGAAACAATAGATGATTATTTTCAAAAAAAAAAAAATCTAAATTTGGAGTTTTCAACCCCTAGATCTCACCATTCAAAAATTTGACACTCTCTATTCATTCTTGAGAAATTATTTTTCTCTAGTATATAGGGATTTCAACTAGGATTTTTTTTTTTTTTTTTTTGAGTAAGGTTTGTTTATGGGTTGAAGAGGTTGCCTCCCCAAAATTTAAAGTGCTAAAATTATTCCTATATTGCATTTTACCCAGGGGAGTAAATGACCGGTATTCCTGCAGGAGTATAAAATCTTTTGGCAAAGAAAGAAGTAATTCACTACAAAGAGATTCTTTTACCATTGGCATTAGATGAGGAGTGAAGCTGATTGTTACTTTTGAATTTGAAGCATCAGAAAGGCCTTGCTCAATTTCTGGAACTGAGACAGACAAAATGATCATGATGAGCTTCTCCAAGTATATTTAGTGAGTCAAGCATGGCAGTATAGTGCAAAGGAAACAAAAATAATGCTAAGAACAAAACAAAATAACCGAAAATAATGACAAAGAGAGTACCTAAATATCCACATCATAGCATGCATTAACTTCATAAAGAAAGCTAATATGAAGGCATTGACCATGATACCATCCTAAGAAAGAACGTTCTACTTGTAACTACACTTGAAAACAATGTTCAAAAAGGTGGAGGCACCTAGGGGCCTAGCCACCTAGGCGGCTGGAAATCCGCCTAAGAGGACCTCGCATTGAACACTTGGAGGTCATGTTCTTCCTTTTCTTATTCTTGCATGTAAAGAGAGAGCACATGGATCCATGTGTCCTTGTGTGCGTATGTGTGAGATAGAGAGGCCTTGCATCGAACACTTGGAGGCCATATTCTTTATGCGTGAGAAAGAAGAGATAGACAGGCCTTACATTGAACACTTGGAGGCCATCTTCTTCTTTTTTTTACATGCAGAGAGAACACATGGGCCCATGTGTGTGTGTGTGTGAGAGAGAGAGAGAGAGGGGCCTTAATAGGCTTTAATTCTCTCTTTTTTCCCCCTTTTAATGTGATGTTCTTTTTTTTTCTTTTTTTTTTCCGTTTTTTTAAGGGCGTGGCAACAGTATTCAGGCGCCTTGAAGGATTGTTGGTCAACTAGATCCACCTGCCAAGGCTATACCTAGAAAGATTGTTGGCCTAGCTGCCTAGGCGGCCAAACGGCCGATTTTTTCAACCTTGCTTGAAAAATAGCAAAACCTCACCTTAGTAACAAGAGTGATACAGAACGAACCTCATAAAGAGAAGATCAGGCTCCAACAAAATTATCAACATGAATGGTGTGGAAGAGATATCTGTGGTGAATGGTCGATATGGAGGAATCTGAAAATAGATTTGATTGGATAGGTTGAGGAAACAAGCTTAATGCTTCTACTAGACCTCACATCACAAACACACGTGTGTCAGCGTTTGACAGGGACCCCAGCGACCTTTCAAACATGACACATATACATCATTGAAAGGAGGGATAGGTAGATATGCAGAAAATTACGTGAGATTAAGCACTTCTATGATGTCAATAAAAAAAAGTTATGCAGAAGTGCCAAGTTTCTAAAGTGTTAGACACATGTGTCATGTCCATGATATGTAGGCAACTTCCAAAAACTAAAAACATGCATCCACAAGCTGCATTGATTAGAGCACATCATTACCCTTATATCCAAACTAGATCCATCATGGAGCCAGATACTTGTGAGAAATCATCCAGTGAAGATACTTCCTAGACATCTACCCTCAATAGATAAAACTTGAAGTTCACATAATTTTTTTATACTGAAAATCAAATACTTCATCCTGAATACCAATACAGGGTATAAGGAAATGGTCCAGTCATGTTGCAATTGGCTATAGCACAGTGGATAAAAAACCAAAGTGGTCAAGCAACATTTTTGCTCCACGAGACAATGCTGATGCTAAACCACCAAAACAAAAGAGATAATGCTTATGCTGACCTACATGTAAAATTCATAATTCACATTGTTAAGACTTGAAAAGACAAATAAAATACTAATAATACTGAAGATCTGCTCGGATATCCACGTAATGTATAGTTAGCTTGAAAGGCATAGCTTTTGATATGGATGGAAATGCTTTAAGAATGTCAATATGTCTAATTGAATTTACCTAAAAACCAATAATTTACAAGGTTATGTTAGGGTACTCATACATGTGAGTATTTCCTTAATGTACTAACATTTTTAACACTAATTACCCTTGCTTTGTAGTACAAAACTTTTTTTAGCAAGAGTATTTTTGCCATTAGGAGAGGCAGAATATATATTTTGATAAGAAGTTAGTGGCATTCTATTAGTGATCAAAAAGCAATTAATGCTCCATGTGGGTGATGTCACACCCAATGTGGATGATGTCATTCTCCACTATAATTAATAAATATTCTTTTTTTAATAATGAATTTTTGCTTTACCCTTGATTAATTACCTAAAATATCCATAGACGAAAAATTACTACATTATAGAGCAAGGGTATTAAATATCCAAAAATATTGAGTACATCAAGGAAATACTCACATGTATGAGTACCCTAACATAACCCTAATTGAAATGTAAAGCGGAATATACCATGCCGATGCCTAGTGATTCCATAAGAATGTATTCCTTCTGCAATTTCTGTGTATAGATTAGCTTCTTTGGCTCCACGTCCTATAAAAAGCCAAATGGAAAGAGACAAAATTAATCAAAACAACTTTGAACAATGGAAATCACACTACACAAAAAGCAATAAAAAGAATCCAGACTCCTGGTGCATAAAAAATTTTAAACTTCTAGTAATGGAGTATAATTTAAGTACTCAACTGGAGCACTTAAAAGTTACATAAAACTCAAAATAGAACTGAAAGCAATAATACTAATGATAACAACACCACCACCAACAACAATAATAATAACGATAACAACAATGATGATAATAGTGATAATAATAACAAATAATAGCACTAAGAACAACAATAATAAGAAATTGACAAGAAGTTCCAAAGATATACTATCCTGACCTGCACCACTCACACCAGACTTTGAATCAATGATGATATTTCTTGTTTCTATTAGCTTTGCCTGATACATGGTGAGATACGAGAAGGTTGAGGCCGAAAGGTAAACATCTAGCAAGTCACACATTAATCATATTCCACATGATAAAATCTACTTAACAAAGAATCTCTGAGATTGACAAGAGCTCAAAAGTCAAAACAACATGTAAATTCTCACTCTTCAATTGTCTCAACAATTTATTCTTGCAATCCCAAGGTCAGGAAAAGAATTAACTTCTTGCACCTCCATAAGATCAAATAAGCACATAGCAAAAAAACATTTGAGAGATTAAGCCCATGGCAAAATTATTTTGCACTAGTTGCATTAAAAACTCACAGGTACATATATATTTGTCGATGTTTCTTTTTTTCTTTTTTTTTCCCTTCCTTATTACTTTTCCCTATGGTCAGTAAGTGACAGGCTTCTATTGAAGGCAAATAAGTGAAGACAGAAAATAAGGCCCAAAGATTGATATTTTCCATGCCCAAAGAATAACATAATAATTAGACTTCACTATCAGAAAGTAATGATAGAAATAAACCTTGAGTAAGGGAACGAGAGGGAGTTGAACAGATGTTGGATAACAACCAGGATTAGCAACTAATCGCGCATTTCGGATTTCATCCCTCAAAATCTCCGTCAACCCATATACAGCTTCTTTCTGTATAAAATTACTGAACCCGTCATCAAACAGCACAAGAAAAGAAAATAAAGTTTGCATAATTTATAAAAAGACTATGATTATTCATGTCTAAAGTAACCTTTAAAGATACTATACTCTTCTTCCCGAAGGATAATATACGAATTAAATTTCCAAAAAAACAACCAGGGGAGAATAAAAAAAAATGAGTTGTTTAGATGTTTTTTATGGGCAATTGAGTTGCTTAGATGTTCAATAATATAAAATTACGTATCCATATTTATGAGTGGGAAGGATTCCTCTAGTCAACCCATCTGACAGATAGTATTGTATTCCCACTTGTAATGCCACAGACCAGCCTATGCCTCATTTATAGGATTGCATTGCAAAGAAGTCATTGTTTGGTCAAAGATAAATGCATCGACCAGTGAACACATATAAACTCAGAATAATGCCCAAAAGAAAATTTCTTACCCAAAAAAAGTTACAGAATAGTCCAAGCCAAACAAAGAATGTGAACAAAGAAACTACATGCACTTAAATCTGCATGCATACCTGCAATTCAGTTGCCCTGTGAGGTTGACCATACCATTCCTCATATTCATCTACACTACGAAGCCTGAAGTCCTGCACAGAATCATCATCATACCTTCTGGAGCTTCATGAAAATAAACTGTATCGAGAACTTCATAACTGAAAAAGCCTATGCATGGTGAAAAACATGTAAGATCCAAATTTTAAGAAACCATCCCAAAGGTTTCAAAGTTTAATCGGAAACATCTCTCAGCCAACCAATATGGAGCCAATTACAAAAAGCACTCGCAATGTTAGGGATGCATGTGTTAGTCAAAGGAAAAGAAAAGTACAAAAATAACTCAGGAAAAAATAAACTTCATCAGAATTTCCTAAAAAATATATTTTTATTCATTTTGAAGAAAACATTCCTAGTGAAACCAGAGAAGATTGAGCATTGCAACAGAAACATACCGCAGAGAGATCAACAACCTTCAGGCCCCTTGGAAGTGCTTTGATGATCTCCTACAACAAGAGAGCAGCAAATGCAGCTTATTGAATGCAACAGGTTGAAACAGAAGATAGACCTTTAATAGAAACATGAAAATTAAAAACATTTCTTCATATGGATGTGGCCCGTAACCACAGTCCACACCTATAGCATTCATTTGGAAAACATTTGAAATATGTTGCTGAAATAGAGAAAAACCTGGGTAGTTCCATGAGGTAAACAGCAGAATACAGCATCCACATCAGAGAAATCAGCATCTTTAACAGCAATCAAACTTGGTAAATCCTGCATTGACAGGCATACAGGTAAAGCATCAGCACACCAACTATTGAAGACAAATTGAACCATCATTAAGTAAAGTCATTTCACAAAATTGTATTCATTCACTAACAGCATTCACGTATGAGATGCACACCAGAAACATTAATTCAATTCCTACTGCCATTTTATTTAAATAGTTTGCACACACACTAACAGTCACTAAATTCCCACTGAAATGCATGAGATCAACTACCAGGCCAGGTGTACCAAAATGCTTTTAAATATTAGAAAGGTCCGAAATATAACAGAAACATGACTATAATAACTTCTCTACACACACTAACACAAACTAACAATAAGAGTTGCAATAAGGGCATAATGATACCTCAATAAAGTTAAAGCAACTGTTAAAAATCATTTTATTAACATGGCTAGTGTTATCATGGAGAAATAGAGAAAAATGCCCTTACATCACTGACTGTATTACAAATCAAAGTCTCTAACATGAACCAACAATAATCCAATGTGTATGCCAATGTCTCAATACTCCGCCTCAAACAAGGGCATTTTTCTCATGCTAATGCCAAGCACGAGAAGGTAAATATCCAAGATCTGAACTGAACATCAACCAGCAGGTCTTTCGATCTCAGTATCGAATAACTACCACTACCATCACTACTAGAAAATTCCAGTCCACCTTGATATGTTGTGCCCACAATCCTTGCCATATATGGAAGATTGCTAATAACATAATTATCATGTTAATAGGGTAGGGTTTAGGTGCTTCCGGGAATGCACCTATTGTCGTATTTCCCCTCAGATCTGCACTAGCCATTTATGTGAACAGTGCAGACCTTTCCAACAAATCGAGAGAGGGGACCTAGGCACCACTAACACCGGTGCATTTCCCTCCCTTTCTCTCCTTCTCCCTATTCACTTTCTCAAATCCTGATTCCTTTCTCTCTCTCGCCAACCTTTTCTTCTCTTCCTTCCCTTCCCTCTCTCCGACCCTTTCTCTATCATCCCTCGATCTTTTTTGGTTGACATGCCCTCCCTCCCTGCTCTTTCTCTGACACTTTCTCTATCATCCCTCTTTTTTCTTTTTCTTTTTTGTTGTTGACATGTTACCATATATAGTTGTATAACGAAAACCAAGATTCACATTGAGGCTCTACCACGCTGATCACCCAAGCATCAGGCCAATTCCTCTCTCTTGAATCACTTCACTCACTATTTACACTTATGCCTGAGAATATTGGAAGAGTTTCAGGCCCTGTGGCGCCTAGTTGAAGTGTTGAATTTTTTGTCATGGGATTTTGAGAGGTCAAATGACGTAGAGAGAGAAGATGAGGAAATGATAGTATAGGTGATCCATTTGCGGTTTGTGCAGAGGATTTAAGGGGTCAATTGGGATAGAGAAAGAAGATGGGGAAATGGCTGGGGTTTAGGGGTTTTTGCAAAGAATTCGAGAGTTCAAGAGCAGTAGAATGAAAGGACGATGAAATGGAAGATTTTGGATATGCGTATGAAATGTTTCGAATGGATTTTGCAATGCAAAACCACAGTGCATTATTTGTATTTGGATTAGAACTTCTATAAATTCACAGGCTCAGTTTATGGTGGAAAAAATGGGTTTTGAATTAACCTTTCGGAGTGAAAGCTTGGAACTAGGAGGAGGTTTTTCACCATTTCTATTCAGCTTCATTTCTGATAATGTATGACAAAAATGGCAGGACTCTGAAGCTCATTGAATTTGAATCCTACCCTTACTCACTCAAAAAAATAATTTTCCAGGTTCGTTCTTCTGGTGCTCTTTGTAAAGTTTTGGCAGTAATAAAAGCTGGGAGCTTTGGCAATGGTTTATGTTGTAATCTTTTCTTTTCTTTTTTGAGAAAGTTGGTTTATGTTGTAATCTTGAGATTATGTTGTTTGCCTGCGATTTCTTTTGATCAGAACCTTAACATTTAATTGCTAAGATAACTCTGAATCTTTTGATCGGAATATTAACATTACAATGCACGCAGGCACGCAGCACACACACAACAAACCACACACACACACACACACACACACAGACACATGCACATGCACACTCACACGGTACATGCATGTGTGCACACACACACACACTCTATCCCTTAATTTGCAGAGAGAAGGTAAAGCAAAGGGGCAATGTAAGAGAGGGGAACCAGGGCTACCAATCGAGTTCCCCTCTCTCATTTTTCAGGAATAATCCACAGAGTCCACATAACTGGATGGTACAGATAGCCCGGGCGTATCTATTGGACTGTGTTCCCAGATGCACCTAAAACGTTTCCTTTTTTATGAGTTACATGTAATATAATTGTTTGTGTTTAGTGGCACTTCTCAGCCAAGAATGCAATTTCAAGACACAAAACAACGATACACAAAATGATATATGCGAAGTGTGCCCTGTGATATGATATCTCATCTTTTCTTATGACAGAAATGACAATATATTAGGGAACCACGTAAACACAATGTGCTCATATCAATAGCATATAAGATTGCAATCCATTACAAGCCGCATTCAACGAATAAAAAACTTATAATGCTAACAATTGGCTATGTCCACTTGACTTAAACTCACAAGTGTTGCAGTTTAATTTACATATCAGTACTCCTTACAACTCATGATAAAGTTAAGAGCCTTACTTGTGTGATTAAGTGAGGAAATACAGTTGCTAGAGAGAGACCAGCTTTTCTATCAGCAGTCATCAGGGTGATATCAAAGTAAGGATGGTTTGCCAGAAGTCTCACTATCTGTTTGGCCAATTAGAATTTCAATGAGCAGAGGTAGCAACGATCAATACACACTTACAATTAAAAAAGTACCAACGTCATGAAAAGTATCCAAATGATTTTTTCAAAACAATTGCATTACAAATACAACAAAAAGAACAACAGTTATACCGCCAAACCGACAAAAACATGACTCAAAATGAAATGCAAGAGAAAAAAATGCAAGCAATATAATTAAATAAGGATTAAAGCAAAGACCCACGTAGTGAAGTTGTATAATGCACATAGTATTTTAAATTAATAACATTAACTCTTAATTTTTAACTTAGACTTAATAATATCAGGCGATCATAGAGTTTTAAATTGAGATATAGAGGGGGAAAGGAGGAGGGGGGGGGAGGGGAAAGGGGGAGGAGAATTCATACCTCTGAACCAGTATAACCACTAGCTCCTAGAACACCAACACGAACTGTGTCCAAAGATTGTTGGCTCTGTGTTTGAACAGATTGTAAACTCTGAGAAGACAAAGCAGCTGAACCTCTAACATCCAGTCTGCTTCGATCAAAATGCTTCAAGTGAAACCCTCTTGCTTCCTTCTGCATTTTGAACTGACAAAGAAAAATGAAAATTTTTCTTCACAAGAAAACGCATGTGCTTTAAAAAATGCAAAAGAACCTATTCATGTCATGATTTCAAACCTTGTGTAAGCGTCCATAGTCGACTGCAACTGTTTTCCATGAAAGAGACTGCATTATTGCAGACTTCTGGTTCAGAACCCTAGAATAAACAAGAGTAAAACCTAGGAATTTCCCCAATCAGACACTGAAACTGAGAAATGTCAAGGAATTGCTCAACCCTAGGGTCGCTAAGAAATGTAAAACAAAAGATACCCGAGAAACAACAAGTGCTAAGAACACTCAATTTGAGCACAGCCAGTGCAACAAGAAACCCTAAAACTCCATTAAACTTATAAGAAGATGATCAATACGAGAGAGAAAAGGGAATCGAATACAATTCCTGAATTATTGAGCACAAAAATAAACTTTTAATTGCAGACCGAGTGTTAGAGCAAGAGTTAAAGGAATATGCTTCCCAGGACTATGGGAACCTTAGTCCATAACGCTCATCACCTTCCAATAAAATGATGGATGGTGATGAGAGGGCATTGGACCGCAGGACGAGATATTACCACGATATTGTGTGTGAACTGCCTATGTGTCGCCTCTCATTTTCTTCATTGTTTAACCGACGGTGATGATAGCGGGGATTATATGTTAGTACGATACAAATGATGAAACAATACTGGTTAGGAAATTGGAATGGGCATAACATTAGAAGATAGTTAGGGTGATGGCTTGAGTTCCATTTTTAAGGGATTAAGGGATGATGATAAAGCAAGTAGCCTTTTGGCTTTACTAAATCATGGTGGTCCATTTTTCTCTCTTTAATCATAATTATGTGAAGTGCAAGGTGTAGTGTTACCAAGACAACTAGAATTTTTTTGCATCCTCAACATGTATCGACACTAAGACACGTTAATAACACTTGACCGTAAGTATCTAATGATTTTTGAGTATTTATCAACATGCTTTATAAAAGCGTTGGTATGTTTTTATCATAGAAGCTTAAACTTAAGGTTGTGTTTGATAAGTGAAAGTTTTTAAAAATAGAAGTTGAACGTCCCACTTCCACGTTTGATATTACCACATAGGAGCACAAAGTAGAAGGGCACGCAGTAATTTTTTTTAACATCAAAAGGGGTCCATATTTTAAATATTGCCATTCCATCAAAAATCATGCGTCAAACTTTAAAAGATCAAATCCTGACAATAAATAAATTGTTATTCCATATTTAGTTTTTATTATAATAAAAAATGCAAAGACCAACCCATAGTCTTGAACCTGGGACATCTTCTACCATCATGATGCTCGGCTGCAGCTATTAAAATTTGAGGAAGATTTTATATCTAAATGATATTGTTCAATATGTCTAATGTACAGATATATCAAGTACTCACATTTTAGCTTCACATACTAGATTCTCAAACATGTATTTACATACTAACACATGTACCCTACATTGATGGGTGCAATTGGCATACAGATGCATCCGTAGGTGTAGTGGTAAGGTGCACTTTCTAATTTTATTATGGTACATAATTTTGATATAAAATGTTTTTAGGATTATCTCAAAATCTATTTTTATATCTAATTATAAAATTTTAAATTTCAAAAATAGTTAAAATCCAATAGACCTATAAACACATGAAAATCTTGAAAATGGACAGTATAGATAATATGTTGTAAAATGCATTATTTCTAAGACTTAATTTCTTTTTATTTTTCATAGTCATACATCTCAATGTCGAGATGATCAATCAAAGGGTTTTTCAACATTAAAACTACCTTTTTCAATGGATTTGAGGGGCATCCATAGTTCTACCTTACAAGGTTGCATCCTTATATAAACTTTTTCCAACACAGATAAGGGGTCCAGTAAGCAATTTCTCTCTCTCCCTAAATATACTATATTATTAAGGGTGCAGGTTGTATAGAGCCGAGGCTCTAAAAAATCTAAGTAAGGCACACCTTTAAATAGTGTCGAGGGTTTCAATATTGGCAATCTTTGTTATAGCCTTAAAATATATTTTTATCTCTAATAATAAAATTTAAAACTCAAAAATAGTGTAGATCGAGCAGATCTATGAAAACTTGAAAATATTGAAAATTGACAGTAAAAAAATGCATTACAAGATGAACCATTTCCAAAACTTCAAATCTATTTTTTTTATTGTCAGTCCATGCATCTTGATGTCATGATGATCAATTTGATGATATTTGGGCATCAAAACACCATTTTTTAGTGAAATTTTTAAGGTACACTTTAATTTGATTGTTTTGAGCCTCAACTCTATATAAACTTTTTTCAAAATAAAATAATGTAGAAGTGTAACAATATAATTGAATCCATATCAACAGTTCATTCAGATCGGATGAAGTATAGAAAGCTTGCCCTTGTTATAAATCTCTCTCGTCTATCTCTCTCATTCTAGGGGAGGAAAATAAAATGTGAAGGCCGCAAAAGTTTATCCGGTCTAGGCTTACTATAAATGTAATCCCATGCATGTGAAGCTCCGAAATACAAACCCACGCCAACTCTGATCGAATTAATTCTCTTTACAATATAGACATACAAAAGAATCAACTTATTGATCAAACTCCATACACACATGGAATGAGCTCCATACAAAAGAATCAACTTATTGATCAAACTCCATACACACATGGAATGAGCTCCATACAAAAGAATCAACTTATTGATCAAACTCCATACACACATGGAATGAGCTCCATACACATGAAATGGGCGAGGCCATAATACAAGCCTGATCTCCATGTACATAATATTACAGGAAGGAACCTGAGAGAACACCTTTTGTTAACAAAACAGAAGGAATCTGCAACTTCTGTTAGCAAAACACTAACACCATGAAAGATATGTGCACCCTACATTAAAATTGAGAGGTAAATTTGAGCAACTCGTTCTTAATTATGAATAGGAGAGCTGATATCCAACTCTGATGGCTTGGAGTTTAATGGTGAAACTTGAGGTCTAAGCCCGCTTAGATGAATCCTTTCCCCTGCTATTTTATTCTGCAAGAGAGAGAGAGAGAGAGAATTAATCAATTGAGAGAGAGACAGTCAACCAATCAGTTTAGTATTTCGAATTCCAGCTTCTCTCTTCCCAACAATCATAGCGTCAGTAATTCCTCAAAATGTTCCTCAGAACATTGTCTTGCTATTTTTTAAGTTTCTCCCTAATGGAACCTCTATGAAAGAGACCCACCTTGAATTTTAAATCTTGCAGTTCTCTTTCTGCAGAAGAAACTTGATCCTTGAGCTTATTCAGAGCATCCTCAGCAACATAAGGATTTATATCTTGGGTGGGATGTGTTATTCCAGCAGCCTGAAATATGGGTTCGACTCTTAATGCCACTTAAATTAACATCACACACACACACAGTGATTCAAGTGCCTCACCTTCAGAATGCTAGTACACACACACACAGATTCAAGTGCCTCACCTTCAGAATGCTAGTACACACACACACTGATTCAAGTGCCTCACCTTCAGAATGCTAGTACACAAGCACAATAGTTTCTGTGCCAACTGGAGTCTCTCATCTTCGGTTTCCTGTCATAAATGGCAAACAATTGTCACTCTCTCTCTCTCTC